GAACAATCCCTATAACTCACAATACTTTTTAAAATAATGTGCACTATATTATGTTGTTATAGAGTCCTCTGAGTGGCGGATTTGCCGTCTGGGAACCCCCGATACCGCAGCCGTATTTGCAGGTGAAAAGAAAAATTCAATTCATAATTTAGACTAAAGTTTAACCAAACATAACAGAACAAAATTTCAACGATTATTTGATTTATTGCTTTTCCAGGTTTTGAACCCCTCAGAACTTTTTGCTGACATAGTTGTCGAGCAAGAGTAAGACCCTCTCCGTTTCTCTTTTTTCGATTGCATAAAACTGAACATCTATAGGACTCAAAATTAAATTTCAATACCTTTGAATTTAATGTAATTAGGCATGTGGAAAGCACGGCATCCATAGTCCAAGCTCTACTAACTTTCAAGCACATGCACCCAGGCCATCGAGAAGAAGAAATACAGCTGTCGGTAGCAAAGGCACTGCATTTCTTGGAAGAAAAACAGTGGCCTGATGGCTCATGGTAAGGCCTTATATGTTTTCGTTTGAATTTACAAACAAAATACGTGAAGAAAATGATTTGAAAATTACTAGTTTGATCAAGTATGCTCGTGTAGGTACGGCTACTGGGGGATTTGTTTCCTTTACGGCACGTTTTTCGTGCTCAGAGGATTGGCGTCCGCAGGTAAAACATATAATGACAGTGCAGCCGTTAGGAAAGGTGTCGAATTTTTTCTGTCGACACAGAGTGAGGAAGGCGGATGGGGTGAAAGCCTGGAGTCCTGCCCAAGCATGGTTAGTTCTATTAAAAAAAACATAGGAGTTAGACCTTCAATAGTAGTTTCTTTTCTTCTTTCTAAAAAATATTCTAATAGTTTATTTCCGAAATTTAGGGCGTGTTTGTATACAAATATATCCGCTCAAAACGAGATTTTTTGGTTAACCATGGTGAATTTTGAAAAAACTGGTATGGTTAGTTGTTAGTGTGATTTTGATATTATATTAAAATAATTACAGTTGATTTGATATAAAAGTATGAGAGAGATGATTAGTTAAAATTATGTGAGTGGATGAATAGTGATTTAAAGTTGATGTGATTGTGTAAAAATGATTGGTTGATATTATTTAATTATATTGATAATATTGAGGATAGTGGGGTTAAGTTAAAGTTGAGTTAGACTTTGAGTATGAAGTGAGTTTGGATTAAGTTTATTAATATACAAACACGGACAATTTGGGTGATTTTGTGACAGAAATACACACCATTAGAAGGGAACCACACGAATTTGGTGCAAACATCATGGGCAATGCTTGGTCTTATGTATGGGGGACAGGTTTAATTTCTTGAACTTTTATGAAAAATTATTTTTCTTGAATACATAAGACTTTTTATTCAAATATATCTAATTCTTTTAAGTTGTTAATGTTATCGAATCAGGCGGAGAGGGATCCGACGCCTCTGCATAGAGCGGCAAAGTTATTGATCAATGCACAGATGGATGATGGGGACTTCCCTCAACAGGTAAACATATAATTTTTCCTTTTTTTCCCTGAAAATTTCAAAACTGTTGCCTCCGTAATTTTGAATTATGAATGAATTATAACAAATTCATAATTACAGGAAATAACCGGTGTCTACCAGAAGAATTGTATGTTGCACTACGCACAATACAGGAATATATTTCCACTGTGGGCTTTAGGCGAGTATCGTAAACGAGTCTGGCCTTCGCAAAGCCTGTGAACAAACTATGTAAGCTTAAATACATATTCACAAACAGATGAAAATTGGCAAAGATGATGAAAAATATATCTAGTACAATAATCAAGCTCAAAGAGTTATTTACTTATTTACTCTTTTTTTTTTCTTTAAGTTTGATGTACATTTGTGTATGCTCAAAGACTAAATAATACCACGATTTACCTAAAGGAGATTAAAATTGATGAAATTATAGATGTTTTGGTTCAATGTAATTTACTTTCATGTGAAACATGTAAATAGCAAAGCTTATCTTCATTTCTATACATCTTGACTGGAAAAATGTCGAAAGAAAAGGCACTTTCTATACATCTTGACTGGAAAAATGTCAAAAGAAAAGGGAGAAAAAATTACTGATATGTGATTCATATTGTAAACCAGTCATATATGTTGGATATTTATCTCATCACATATTTATTTTATGAATTCAGTTACATTTTCGGGCGTCTCTAATTTAATTTCTATCCAATATATAAGAACTAACCATGGTTTTGAAAATCGGGCCAAACCGGCCGTTTCAACCGGTTCGACCGGGAACCGGCCTTCATTCCGGTCTGGTATGCTGCATATAATTGTCGGGCATGAGAAACGTTCGAATTGGTGAACCAGGACCAGTTTAAATGGTTCTAACGGTTTCAACTTTTGAATTTGAGGAGTTGATTGTAAAGTCATTTAAATAACTCACATTTTTTACTTGTGTTTCTAATATGGGATATATTGACAAATAAAGACCCTTGCTGAAAGTATTGGGCCTTACAAGCAAAATTGTACTCATTAAAAGAAAAATGTACTATTTTTTGAATTGGATAGTATCTATTGGGCTATATCTATTCCCAATTTATTGAATAAGAAAGAAGCAATTTATTGTTATTTGTAGTGCACATAGTTTTTTAATCTATAACAAAAATCTTAAAATTTGTTTTAAAAATTAAAATAGGGTTTTTTCTATTCTCTCTATTTTGTAACTTAAATATAGATTAAAATTTTAAATATAAAAAATAAAATAAGAAAAAAACTTATCAACATTATTCAACACTATCGGTTGTATCTATTATTGAACTCCTACTTAAAGAAATGTCATACGCTATAAATTAATGATATATATATAGATATATATATATTATACATATAAAATAAATAAAAAATTGTATATTAATTAAGTCGGTTCGACCAGTGAACCATTGAACTGGTAGCTTTGGCCGGCTCGATTTTAAGAACCATATGCAACTAACACTTTAATTGGCTTAATCGCACCAATATATTATTGAGTATATAAAGTGCTCGGTTTTGTATCTACCTGTGTGTACATTGCCTACATTTGGGCCTAAACCGTTAGGTCACATGCATACGCCTATATTCATGCAAGTGTTTTAATCCAATGGTTTAAATTCTGTTGTGGGTCAGTAGGGTGAAATCTACCGTTAGAGAAGATGTAATTTTTTGACGGTCGGCCCCAGCCCCCAACTACAATTAAATGGGGATTATGTGCAAGTTCACACGTTATAATGATAAATAAATAATTGTTTTGATATTAAGACGAGGATAAAAGAAAACTTATGCAGGACTAAAATAGAAAATCACACAAAGATAGGCCGATCTAGCTGGGGATCGATGAAAGAGTGTTTTGTATCTATATTTGAGCAATATATGGATGATGCTCTACTCCGATTTTTGAGTGCTTGTTTTTCGGCCTCGAGGGCCGAATATATACATGGAAAAAGTGAGAGTTATCACGTCTTAAGGGACCACTAATGGCATAGGGAAGTGTCATGTATCCCATGGAAAATCTTATTAGAGCGGTCGCTTTATCAGTATGCTTTTTTACGGTTTACTGCAAGGGGATCGTCAATCATTGCGAGGAAGAAATAGGTTCAGAAAAGCACTTTTAGCCCAAGCACGAAGGTCGACACTTGTATGCAAGTGTTGGATCGACAATGTCTTGGTAGCGAGGTAATCTTGGGCTTTTATCCCTCCCGGTTGGCCCCAAATATCGATAGGTCAAATCTCGTTCTCTATGACTTAGTGGGCTGGCCCATAGCAGATACGATTTTATGTATAACAAGGAGATTCCAGGTTTTAATGTATAGAAGGTATTAACTGATATACTTGGAAAGCTTTCCTGTAGATTTTGGATTTGTGCACGAAACTTTAGGATCGTCCTTCTACTAGAAAGGACGACGTCAGTTATTTTGGGCAAAGCATAGGACGCCAATTCTATAGGAACATTAAATGAGGACAGAGAGTGTCCTCTCACAAACGAGCTTCTTTTCGGACATGGTTTGACTCTTGGGATTAGTGCATGCGCTGTAATGATTAGGGTAATGTTTAGGGCCATCCCTATAAATAGAAAGACATCTCAGGATTCGAGATTTTTAGGGTTTGAGTTTGAACTTTGAGTTTTGAATTTTATGTAAGCCTCATCTTCTTCATTTTTTTCAGGTTGAGTGATTTTCCGACACCGTTCTTCCTTATTCCTTGCGCCAATCATGACTGATAGTAGTGATTACGATACAAATTTGCTGAATGGGGCGTTGCAGGCGATCGTGCCAGATAAGTGAGGGAGTCGATCGCCTGCATGAGTGATGCTCGGGATATGCAAGCTTAAATTGAAGAGGATTTTGCAAGTCCGATGTTGGACGAGCACTAGAGGTGACCACCAGCTGAGGAGCCAGATCCCGGCGATATGGACATTCTGCCGCTTCGACTCGGTGCACATGTGGGCGAAATGTCCTTGCCTCTCGCAGTTGAAGCAAGTCTTATGCCGGACGACAATCTCCAGCTACATGATAATGAATAACAAAATGATCCAAACTCACTTGATAATGAATCATCACAAGCATTCAAGAAATTATAGAAATTGTACCCTTCTAAGTTTAATTGAAAAAAAAAAAAAAAATACTAATGTTCGGATTTGAATCTGGCACATAAGAAGACAAGTGTCTTACCACCACACCACAATGGATTTTCATTAGTTATGTGGACATCGTTTATACTTGTTTAAACTAAACATCATTAAACAACATAAATATTTTATTTATTATTTTTAAGAAGCTTTAATAATATAACTATTTTTTATTTATTCAGTATATATATTTTTCAATCCTAACAAAAATAATTATTTAAATTTAATTTATTTTATTTATATTCAATTAACTAAATTTATNGTATAAGGGGGTTTCAAATAAAAGTTATTAGTTGTCAAATTAAAAAAAGGGAGAGTGTGTATGTGAATGTGAATCATAAGAATAAGTAAGAGGTAGATACCACCAGACGCACCTTGGTACTTCCATCCGCCAATCAAGGCTAGTGGAGCGAAGGCTCGATATAATTGAGAAGCACTTTCTAGTGTGCGCTTTCGTTTTAGAATGTGTCGTTCAGCGTCACGAGTCTACAAGCCCCACTGAGACCTACCTATAGTCTAGTCAAAGTACTAGTGACGGTGAGTAACGGTTTCTGGGTTCAGTCAGCGAAAGTCCCTCAAACTCAATCAATATCAAGAGCATGTCGTGACGAGCCACAAAATGTGAGCGCCTTGCGCGAGCTGCAATCAAACTAAAGCGCGTTAGCGCATCCAACAAGCAACGACTGAGCAAACAAGCAACGGCTTTCGCGCTCAAGCCCCCAACCTAGTAAAGGGGCGGCGCAGTAGAAAGATTGCATCTTCCAAGTGCGCAGTAGTTTTCTTGCTTGTTGCAGATGTTGCAGATTCCAGAGAGGCAGAAAGTCTTTTTGCAGAATCGCTCTTTTTCAACTATGTTCAGAAGTGTTGGGAATTAATTTTCGCAAACAGGAGTTGGCTTTCATTCGATTAAGTATACAGATCAACCAAATATTGCATAAAAAATCAAAATTTTCCTGTTGAAATCTTAAAATTTATCTCAATTTCCACGGGTGATCAACATCATGCGTTTTTTAAATAATATAGGGGGAGAACACAAAAATTTCCATTATTATAGGAGGATTTGGTGTATACATGTTCACGGGCCGAACCGGCCCGTGAACTTGTCCCAGCCCGGCCCGAACCGGCCCCCTAAGGGCCGGTTTGTTGAACCGGACCCTTAGAGTCGCGGTTCGGTCCCGGTTCTTTTTTTTTTCTTTGTCCCGTCGGGTCGGGTCGGGCCACGGGTTGGATGATGGGCCGCAGTGTTTTTATTTTAAGGGCCGTACCGAACCCGAACCAGCCAAAAACCGGCGATCCGGAGAACCGGTGGGACCGGGCCAGTCCGATGAACCGGTCCTAACCAATTTCTCTTATGCAACACTTGAGTCTCAGAAAATCATCATTGAATCAGGATAAATAACTTGTGAGTTTGAATCTTCTTTAGCGAAGTACTATTAGATACACAAATTGGTTCATAACACCTGTTAAAAAATATAGATAAATTATGGTCCTACTAAAACGCTAATGCTTGAGTCTTGATGAATCATCATTAAAAATCAAGATAAATAACTTGTAACTTCTCTAGTGAAATATTATTCGATGCACTAGTCAGTTAATAACACCTGTTAAAAAAAATAGATAAATTATGGTCCTACTTAAACCCTAATGCACCAACCAGTAGACCGGTTGCACATTAATTACACCACATTCAACTCCCCGTGTATCTCACAGATCACGCGTTTTCTGAGCCGGCCTGTAAAGCTTGGGTCCACGGCCCACCTCCCAACATAATTTTTTCCTTCACGGGCTTTTAATTCAGATCCGTTATCAACGGTCATTTTTATTTTTTCTCCCATCATCATACATGATACAACACGCACTCCTTTTACTTTTCAAATAAAAAAATAAATAAAAATAAGTCAAATTGGTCCCAACGGTCCCCTCTTTTCCCATACTAAATGCACAACTACAACAACGCGCTTTTTGTGTCTAAACAATCATAACGACAGAAAATTAAATAAAAAAAACCCAACTAATTAATTAATGTACATAATAATAGAGACTCATCTCACTCATCTAATACGCGTCTATTGACAGATCCCAAATGGTTTAATACAGCAGCAATCAGCACCACTTCCTTTTATTTATTTTTCAACTCTCTCTCTCTCTCTCTCTCTCTCTCTCTCTCTCTCTCAAGTCTCAACTACTTAAAACCATATTTAGCCACCACAATTCCCAAGTCTTTCCTCCAAGCTTTTCTCCCTTCTTTTTCTCACACACCACCAAAAAAACTCTCCCAAACAAAAAAAGGCCACAGAAAAAGAAATGGGAGAGAAAGACCATCTCCATCTATCTGCAATCACAACTATCTTGCTAAGAATATTGCTCTTATACAAACTCCTCACCTCAATCTTCCTTTACTTGGTCCCCAAGAAGCTGAGGACTTACCTCCCATCTTCTTGGTACCACCAACCACAACATCACCACCAACAAAAACAAATCCCCAAACGAGTAATGGACTCGAACGAGCTCAAACGCGTGTTCCAAATGTTCGACAAAAACGGAGATGGATGGATCACGAGAGACGAGCTAAGCGGGTCTCTCGAGAATATGGGCATTTTCATCCCGGACGATGAGCTGGCACTCATGATCGGCAAAATTGACGCCAATGGAGACGGGTTTGTTGACATGGACGAATTCGAGGCCCTTTACCGGAACATAATAATAACCGGCGAACGGGACATGGATGGAGAGGAAGATATAAGGGAGGCTTTTAACGTGTTTGACATTAATGGAGATGGGTTTATAACGGCAGATGAGCTGAGGTCAGTGCTAGCGGGATTGGGGCTCGAGCAAGGAAGAGCTGCAGAGGATTGTAGGAAGATGATTATGAAGGTGGATGCTGATGGAGATGGGATGGTTGATTTTTCCGAGTTCAAGCGGATGATGAGAGGGGGAGGTTTTACGGCCTTGGGGAATTGAATTGATTAATTTCGTTTGTTT